ATCAACTCGTTCACATTGAATTTCTGTTCAAATATTCAAACAAGTATTCATTCATATGAGTCATTGAATTTCTTTTCACTAGCTAAGATCACTCTTTTTCTTCTTTTTTCCACTAGAGACCACAATCAAAAGTCATACTGTTTTTCTATTACAAAAAAGAAGATAGGTTCGAGATTTTCTATGAAAACAAAAGATACAAAGCAAAAAAGATTGCTCAAAATAATAGTACTCATATAGTAATGCACAAAACTTGAAATAAGGAAAAGAAAGCAAAAACAAAAGGTGAAAACAAAAAAAGACAGACATGGTTTTTAAGTAGGCTTCCTCATATTTCTTCCTGCACGAATCACTTCATCTACTAACAGCAACTGCGAAGCAATCACTGGCCTGCAACACATCACCAAACAAACAAAACAACCGTTTTAAATGCTTTGAACTCAACTGGAATTGAATTAGAGCTCGATAGTTTCGAACACCAATTTTAGTGTGTTGAGGTTCTGTACATACCCTGAATTGATGAGTTGGCGTTTGACCGAGTAATTGTCAAAAATACCAGTAAGTAGAGGGTCGATGGGTTCTCCATCCTGTAGGTTTAGTCCCACGACGTTTCCCTTGTCATGCTCACTCTGTAACATCATGATTCCAATAAACGTTAGATTTGTTCTCTTGGAGCATTACCGATAGCGGAAGAAGAAGAAAATAAAAGTATAATACCGTTAGAGAAATTATAACGTCTTGTGTATCAAGCCCAGCATTTTCAGCAAGTGTCTTGGGAACCACGAGAAGTGCGTTAGCAAAAGCTTCAACACCGAGTTGAGCGCGCTGCATTTCGCCCACAATTAACATTAGCAACCGGAAAATTCAAGAAACTTGTAATGGAGCAGAGCGATATATCTTTATGCTTACCCCTTTAACAGTTTTCTTGACTACATTGAGCAAGTGTTGTCTGGCTGCAACTTCAAAAGCTCCAGCTCCCTGTGGAAAGAGACAAGCGTATATTAACCATAAACGCATGAAACTACACTGAAATGGCAATCCCTATGATCTTCGTGAAGAATAAAATACTTACTAATACAACACACTCATCTTCTAAGGTGTTCTTCACTGATCTTAAACCATCACGGACAGCATCCTTGATTTGAGCAATGGTGTGGTCGTTAGGCCCTATAAAAATCAATTAAATCATGGATGATCAGTGACAAGCAGTGTAAAAAAAAGAGCAAATTTGACCTTCACAACTTGGCCAATGCGAAATTTATGTTTGGGCCTTCGTACCTTTGATGAGGATAGTACATGAATGAGGATTCTTCACTTGCTCGACGAATGTGTACTTTTCCTCTCCAAGAACGTGTTCATATACAAGTCCAGCCCAACCAAGAGAATCAGGGGTCAAGTCATCAACGGAGTTCACAGCTTCTCCACCACATGCCAAAACCAAACGTTCCATGTTCCTCCTCTTTGCTCTTCTAAGGGCGATTATCTGGAGACACATAAAAACATAAAGAAACCGAAAGATAACTGATTGGAAAAACTTGTAGACACAAGAAACGAGATGAGAAACAATCTTAGTGGAAGATCCAGGCATCTAAATTCTTTTAGGTGAATGCTCTTTTAAACCTTTTTCAATATCGGTCTCAGTTCATTTTGCCTTTACATTTCCATTCACTTGATTTCATGATCTATGTCTAGCATCTTTCTAACTTTTCTGGTAATCGGAATAACAGGAATACAATTAAAACATACAAAACTAGTCATGGCTTACCCCTTCTCTAGCAAGAAGATCCAATGATGGGGGATCAATACCCTTTTGATTTATGATGACAAAGCTGTTATCATTACCAGCACAAACCTGCAAGAGAAATAGACCATGTAAATACCTGAAAAGATACAGCATATGGCTACGATGTAATAGTTTCAAACCCACCTTATTCTTCAGCTCAATGATTTTCTTAACTCTTTCATCAACAGAACGTCGCTCAGCAGTAACCATGGCTTCCCTCTGTTCCGCATTCGAGTAGAAAAACCCTGCATTAATCTCACTGATATATACAAAGTTAGGCTACAAAATCAGTGCTACAAGGGATAGTTTCTCTAACTACTACTCTTTCATATCGCTTAAAGCAATCAATTTAAGGGTTATAATACACACCTCTTCTCATACTCAAGTGACACATTGCAAATTAGGATGTGACAATTCTCCGCACGTCGCTTCATGTCAGGGTGTCTTGAACCATGATCCAGAACAAGCCCCTCAACCTAATACAAGAGAAACAATCCAGGTGATATAAGCAACAGGTGCATAAAGATGACATTTATGATTCACGACCAGCAAAAGGATTTAATCCCATACACAAGTCATTCTACTAGAGTGAAAACCCTTAAATTCTGACTGAACAAAATTACTGAAAACAATCATATCAAAGACATACCAATCGTGTGTCAACATCAAATTTATGGCGCATGTGCATTATCTCAACCATAAATAGATCAATAGGTTCCTCAGGCTTCCGAATGCAGAGAACCTGTGGGGAGTAGCTAATTAGAAGACAAACAAGCTTAAAAACCAAAACTGATCCATAGATTAGTTCGCCAATATGTAAAAAAAGAATGAAGATCTTCAATGAGAGATATCAGTTTACTTACCGAATTAACAACAATATCGGTCAGTTGATCAGCCAAGCTTTCATACAACTAAGTAAGAGAGAAATATGGCAGTTAGAAAGTGAAGAGAAGAGACTGTGATAACGAAAAAGATATAAGATATCATCAAAGAAAGAATACCTTTGTTCTTAGTGTTGTCCTGGCAACCATCTTCAGGATCTCTTTATCAGGCTCATCACCCATAACCACAGGTGTCTTGAAAGTGTCGAGAAATTGGAGAGTAGCTCTTTTAGCAATCTCGAAACCATCAACTAAGACACGTGGATGCATTCCTGAACACATGTATACACCTTTTCATTAGGACCATTTCTCACCGAGGTTAAATAAAACTTGGCAAGGTAGCTGAAGAATAATCAATGGTATCTGTTAACCATCACAAAAAGATTCAGAAAATGAAAGGCATCCGATCCAGCTTAAATCTAAAACAGACATAGAGAAGCGTAAAATGAAAAAACTAGCCAGCTCATCAATAAATCAAAAGTATTAAGTCTAAATTGGCTAACCTTCATCGATGCAGCGCTCTGACTGCTTCATAAGCTCACCGATGAAGATGACAGTGGAAGTAGTACCATCACCACTTATGTCATCCTGCGCAACAGCTGTCCTCGNAATCATGATGGCTGTTGGATTTTGAATTTGCTGCAAAGATAAGCAAGTGAGAGCATTGTCAGTAACAGTTTAAAGACTTTTGTCTGTCATTTCCATCACTGACAAGCAGTGTAACCTGAATATCTTATAACATTTAAAATGTCCTGGACGAAAACACACTTAATTACATGACACTAACATTATCATGTTCAATTTCCCGAAATGGTACTTTGATTTTACCAGAAAAAAATATGCACAAGCCTAGGTTTTACTAGCTTCTGAAAACACTTGACAAGTAAGAAGAAACACTAGGCTAGATTCTAATCAATCAACAAGATCTAGCTTTACAATTCCTTTATCGGGCTCACCATTTCCTTCAAAAGAGTGTTCCCATCCTTAGTGAGCTTGATATCCCCGGAACCACCAACAAGCCTACACACAAAGCGATCGATAAATCCGGATAAACACTAAAACAAAACAAATCAGCGAGTAGAGGAAACGAAAATAGTACATAGATCCAAAACATAGAAAAGGACTTACATCTTGATGGTTCCTTTAGGACCGAGATTGGATTTGAGTACATCTTGTAAACCCTTAGCCGCGTTGATGGTCATATGAAGCGCCGCCGATTTGTTGAGAACCTCGGCATTAGGGTTAAGAACACGAACAGACATTTTCGATGATGAGAGATCAAACTCTTC